ATATATATCATTCAGCATAGAAAAATTATTAGTAGTGGGGAGTAATGCTTTCACTCTATATATATCACCCAATATAAAAATGACCTCCCTATAAATATAAATTTTAAATATTCAATGTGATATATCTCTAAATCATAAGATGATTATCTATTCTATTCGTCAAGATAAGTATTGGGTAGGTGAATTCAATTTTCATCTTTTTAAAAATAAATTGTCTACCCTATACTTGCTAACTATAGTCTACCCATAACCACCCGAAAAAATACGCACCATATCCATAGCAGAGAACCATCAGAGTATATTAATAGGAAATATTTTTTGACACGATTTTTTCAAATTTTGAAAAGTCGCGTTTTAAACTCCTTACTAGCGTATTTTTACCGATCTATTGAAAAATCACATATTAAATCGTTTTTAAAAAAAAAACACCATTTTTTTTGAAAAAGTCGTTATTAAATCGGCAACTTGCTAACTATGGTCTTGACCCAAGCACGTTTCTATGTATAGTCCTCAAGTCAGGCTATACATATGGAAAAAAAAAAGTCATGTAAATCTAATGTTTTCTTGTTTAAAAGTGCGGATAACAATGAGCGATTCCCAACTCAAACGGGCAGGCATGGTACATGTTTTTAGAGGTTAAATTTTATTATATTACAAAATTAGTCAAAACGATTATAAATTTACCAGAAGATTTATCGGTTCTGTTTTAGATACCAAATTCAGATTTTATAATTTCAAGTAAACTAAATTCTTAACTAAATTTTTATTTCAGAAATTATCCATACATTTGCTAGAAAGACAGCGAAGTCCCTCGATTTTCCCCACTCATAGTCTTTGAGAGCGAAGGCTGCATTTGGTATATTATGTAAAGCATTCGGGCTAGTTTAGTCATTTAGGGATCTTATGTTTACGTAATCATCTCGGTTAGGGGAAAAGCTCCAACGTATGCCACGTCATAAGGTGGCGGCCCCACATGAACCCATTCCACGTCACGTCCAGCCTGTCAACAGGCTAGCTCCCGGGGCCCATCACTCCAACCTTTCTTATTAACGTTCTCGTCCTCATTAACCCTACGCTACAAATAACCCCGATCACCGGCGACTTTTCCGGCGAATGTTCACCGGAAATTAACCTCGTCTGCAACTTTCCGGCGAAACTTTCAGTCACCTTGAAGCCTCGTGGATACTTTTCTGCGATAATTCATGTTTATTCCAGGGCCTCTGCAACTTTTTCCGTTAAATGAACCCAACAGAAGGCTTTGTTTCTTTTCCTCTGCAACTTATTTGGCCAATAAAGATGATCTCAATTCTTAATACACCTTGAGTGAAACTCTCTTTCTGAGCTCAATTCAAAGTGAACAAGTAAACCCTAGCTTCTTACTAGGTCTCTGCAACACTTTCAAGTGAAGAAAAACCCTAATCTCACTAACCCCCAATCTTTTCCCCAACTCATAGAAAACCAATCATTAATTTTGGTTCCTTCCTATTTCTCGATCCAACTTTTTCAGGCAAATTTTCGGTCCAATTATAGGCCGAAAACACCATGGACCCGTGCCCCTTCGTCAAGATCCTGGTACAAAACCTAGCCCTCAAAATCCCAACCTCAAATCGAAAACACCATTGCTTCTGCGAAATCAAGCTCCTCAAATTCCCAATACAGAGCGCCCCAATTCCCATAATTTCGAACAATTGCCATGCTCCGGAAAGTAAATTTCCAGCGGCCGGTTTCTCTCTTTCTGGCGAGAATCTCCAGATACTCGCCGGAAAATCCAAGCCAGGCGTTTCCATAAAGGTTTACATGACAAGCGAGTCTCGCACGTGTGGGATGACGACGAGAAGGCTCTTGGGTAAAGTAAGGGTTGGACTCGAGCCAACTGATCCGAGTCAATTTGTGATTCGGAGCGGGTGGATCGACTTAGCCTCGGCTCGGCTCCATTTGGTGGTTCGAGTTGAGCCCGACCCGAGATTCGTGTTCGAGTTTGGTGGGGAGCCAGAGTGTAGTCCGGTTGTGTATCAAATACAAGGGAGCAGAAAGCAGCCTGTTTTTAGTTGCAAGTTTTCTGCCGATCGTTATTCGAGATCACGGTAAGTTTCAATTTTAGTTTCATTATTAGTTTTTTCTTTCATTTTTATGAAATTTTACAAAAAGTTATGTTTTATTTTTGAAAGAATTTAACTTATCACACTCAAGTCTCATTTTTGAGGAGTGTATGATATATCTTAATTCTATTTTTAATAATAAATTAAAATTTGGGGTATTTTTGAATTTTTTGCATCACGCATGAAGAAATATATAAAACAAACACTTCACATTTGGTAATATTATTTATTTTATTTGTTAATATTTTTATAGATATATGATAATGAGAAGTATGGACCCTCAAATTTAAACGAACAAAAATAAACATAAAAGATATAGTTTTTATGTATCTCAATATGACATGTAACATCTCCACACCCATGATCTATTTAATGGAATTTTATATATTTCTTAAGGAATATATGATCTCTATGGAGGAGATCATTAATATAAAAAAAATTTAAAGACTCAATATTGTAATGTTTTGATGAAAAAGTTTAAGCCCTTGGTCCTTTTTATGTTTGTTTAGACAGGCCACAACTTTACACTTATCTTTAAGATGGATGTTTGATGCGTCGAAGCAGATGTAGGATTGCATGCGCCATGAAATATTTTTGAATTCTAAAAACTGATGGGACTTTTATGTAGATTTCCCTATTTTCTATAGGATAAAAAATGTAGAAAATATGGATTTGACTTAGCCAATGCAAGTTTTCTTATTCCCTCTCTATTATATTTTTTCGAAAGGTTCCAGTAATTTTTTCAGAAATGTAAGTTTTTTTTTAAAAAATATATAAAAGACAACAACAAGGTCACAATCATTCGTTAGATTTTAAATATGGTCGTTCCAAGTATGTTTTGTTTTTTATTTCTTTAGTTATTTTTCTATGTAAACGACAAGTAACTTTTCTCTCTCTAAGATTTTCTCACTCTTTAAGGTTTTCATTTGGTGGGGTCCTAAAAGTTGGCCGATTTCATATTTTTGTCGTGGGGGAAAAAAAAGAATGAGAAAACTAACCAAATGGGAGGAACAGGTCAAGGTGCCATTTTTGCTTTTTTTGGTAAACTAGAAATTTTTAATAGTTAACAAAAATATTTATTAACAATATAACCGTTATGGCGTGAGACATCAACTACAGAATGCATTAATTTTTTCTAACTGTTAATAGAATGTCATTATTTTTTTTATAAAAATATAATAGAATATCATTATTTTTTTTATAAAAATATCTATTTTAATTTTCTAAATGAAAAAACAATACCTCTACTTGAAAAATTTTGTATTACAATTCAAAAGTATTGGTATAGCCTAACAGAAAAAACCCTTTCTCCAAATACATTGTACCTGATGCCCAAATTGTTTAAGCTAATACAATTGCGCTTGAACAATTGAGAGAGAGAGAGAGAGAGAGAGAGCTATAATGCAGAAAGCGAGAATCTCTATATGACGAGCATAGTAGCAAACAGTGAGTCAAGAACATGGATTATTTAGTGAGAAAAGGCAAAGGGATTTAAAAGTAGTTATTATTACATATGAACCACCCTAATCATATAGATTTTGAAAGTCAAGGAAGGAAACTCTCAGTCTCGGGGTATGGAAATATTAAAGTTTTTTACCCCTAATGATTCCGCATGATTTCTTGGTTCCTTCACAATTGCACCCACTTTGTTTCGATCTCTCTGTTTCCCAAAATCTGAATGTTTACTTGTCTGTTAATTTTCTTCATGACTTTTTTTTTTTCCATTTAATTCTAATTTAATTACGAACATAATAAAAAGGAAAATATAAAATGGGGCAACTTTGAGTGAAAATTACGAAGGTTGGTCATCCTATTTTTTTCATTTTTTTTTAAAATTGTTTTTTTTTTAATTTTAATTTTCTTTGTTAGTAGGCAAGTATCTTATTGTGTGGGGCATGCCAACTCCCAAAATAGGGTGGCATCCTCGCCTTATTTTTTAGCAAAAAAATAAGCTAATGCTGTCCGAGGATGTCAACTTTGGACCACCCTTATGAGCACCAAAGAAGGCAATCCGAAAATGGGCAGCTTGAACCACCTTTGCATGCTTAACAAAGGCAGTCTTTGCAGTCCAAAGATGCGAACCTCATACTGCTTTGAAGAGCACCACATAAGGCGGTCGGATGATGCTAACATCAGACCGATTGGGTATTATCTTAAATATTAGGTGACAGTCCTACTATCGAAAAAACTAAAAAAGAAAAAAAAGTGAGCCGAAGATAGTATTTTCAGACCGATAGATAATTTTGAAAAAAAAATAAAAAATCTCAAGTTGACCGAGCCTCTGAATAATTTTAAACTTGTTTTGTATTTTAGTAAATTTTTTTATGTCCGTACATATTCACTTGAGGTTTTTTTTTTTTTGGCTGATTAATCATGCATGATATTACTCTCTCTCTCTCTCTCTCTCTTTTCTCCTTTGCTAGTTAAACCATTAAAATTGTTTCGTTCTCTTATCAATAATGCTCACGGCAACTCCTCTCTCTCTCTTTTCTCTTCTGCTAGTTAAACCATTAAAATTGTTTCGTTGTCTCTGATCACTAATGCTCAAGGCAACTCCTCTCTCTCTTTCACTCTTTCTCACTCACAAATTCACAGTTCCCTTTTTCTTGTTAATCATCTAGTTATTTGCCCAATTCAATGCAGCTCCTGCTCCACGCAATGTGATGGAACAAGAGACAACAAAACCAAGAGAAGGTGGCTAAGCTGGGGTGGAGAGAGAGAGAGAAGAGGAAGAGAGAGAAAAGGGTGGATGGTGATCATCCATGATCTCTCTGGCTCTCCTGTTGCTGCTGCCTCCATGATCACTCCATTTGTGGCCTCACCAGGCTCAAACCATGTTGGACCCTCGAACCCGGGCTCATGGTTGATCCTTAGGCCCGGGCTCGACGGACATTGGCAGCCATGGGGTAAGCTCGAGGCTTGGCGTGAACCCAGACCTGTTGAGTCCCTAGGCTATCGTTTCGCTCTGGTCTCTTCGTTTTTGGATTCGAACAGCTCGATCCCTATGGTCGAATCATCTCTTTGCCTAAAAAAAGGTGGCAAATTTGTAATCGACACTGGATTGAGAGAGAAATCCTCAACAATGAGAGAGATTCATGGAGGAGTGAGAGAGAAGCCTAAGAGCATGAGAGAGAAAAGAGGGTCCACTAGAGTGAGTTCTCCGAGCATGAGAGAGAATGTTTTGAGTGTGAATTCTGGGGTAATGAGAGAGAGATCTTGGTCGAGGAGAGAAAGTGCTCCCGCTGCGGTGGAGGATTGTGCAGGGATGAGAGAGAAGCCTCAGTTGAAGAGAGGGAAATCCTTGAGCTTTGGGGTCTTGAGAGAGAAAAGTTGGTCGATGACAGAGAGGTCTCTGAGTTATGGGGGTATGAGAGAGAAAGATCAGTCGATGAGAGAGAATTCTCTGAGCTGGGAGGAGGATTCTAGGGGAATGATAGAGAGACCCCTGGTTTACGAGACGGGGTTTGTCATGGGATCGACGGTGGGCGGGGGCCCTGTGGTGCATGTGGGGTTGAAGCATGTGATGTGTGTGTCTGATGCTGCGGTTTTCATAGCTTTATCGGCGGCGATCGATCTCAGCGTCGAGGCATGCCGGCTCTTCTCTCAAAAGCTCAGGAAGGATCTTTGCCAGTTTCAGTAAGAGAGATAAAAGACCAGTTCCATAATGTGAGAGAGAAGATCAGTTCTTGACCTCGAGATTATGAACTGAATGCTTTCATGGAGTTTTGGTCCTCCAGCATATGTCAAGGCAGAAGATGTAGAGATAGAAAGGAGCAGTTTTGTAGATCTTGAGTGAGAAGAAGCAAGAAAGTGATGGGCTTATTCATTTGGTGCAAATCCATTGTTTTGATAATGGATTTATTTTGTGTGTATATCATTTGTTTGACAAGAATGTGGGAGATTTTGGGGCTTTTTTGCCTTTTGCTTTTTATCCCTGGCCAGAGGAGAATTTAAGTTTTCATTTTACTTTTTTGGGGTTTGTTCTCTTCTTTACTTGATGACCTCACAAATTTGTTTACTTTGGAGGGGAGGCATGGCCTGCTTTAAATATTTGATTGAATTAGTGCAATGTTTTTTATTTTTTTATTTTTTAGCATAATTCAGTAAAGTATTACTGGGATGGTGTTAGCAGTGAGAATAAAAACCACAATATGGTGACTAGAGTGTGAGGTGCTACCGCTACGAACCCAACCCCTTTCTCTGAATTAGTGCAATGTTGCTTCTCAAAATATGCATATTGAATTGGAGTTTCACCATTTTCACATATTTGTTGGTTTGGCTAGAGTATCTAGAGGAAGTTTGGTTCTTTATTTATTTCTCTTAACGGCGGTTCGGGTGGGCCGGCCCTAAAAAGTTATGGCATCGGCTATAAAATGTGGCTGAGGGTCGGGATAGGTTTAAGCTGGCCCTGTTCGGCCCAGCTTGACATTTTATTTTTATTTTTATGAAGTACATTTAGTCTAGGCCTGGCCCCTTGCCAGCCCTAATTGTCTCTTGAGGGACGTGATTATCATTATAATTTACAAGCATGTGATGCCTTGCCATTGATTGAAGGGTCACATGCCCTTCTTTTATGAGATAGAGAGAGACTATTCTCAGTTAATCAGTTAATGTCATCTGAGAAAATTAACCCTTCAATCAAGCTGAACATTTATACAAGCAAAGAAGTTTCACATATACATAACTTCAATAACAAAACCCACTCTTGCTTGTTATCCTATGTGAAATCACCTCTGAGAACCAGTGAGGCCTGAGACACAACTCTAGAGGCCCTCCAAATTTGGTGTTGAACAAAAGCCCATGACTCTCTTGTGCTTGAGCTTCTTCCCTCCTCAATGGCGTCCTCTATTCCCGGGAATGACCTAGACCCATAATCATTGTGTTTTGAAGGCCCATAAACCTACAATCAAATTAACCACATATGCAACTGAGATGAAGAAATGCTTATTTTCATTTTGATTGGTTTTTCAATCTAAAAATCCAGGGGATTTGTTATTTTTTGATAAATGCAACACTTCTATGTGGCACCGCCACATATACAAGTATATGTAACTATTGTTCATGGCATCTAATTTAAATAGATGGTTGAGATAGCTTCAATAATACGTTAGAAAGAGATAGTAGAAATACCCACGGTAACAATGTAAGGAAAATTGTTTCATGCGGGCTGGACTGCATTTCAACAATATTTAGTCTAGAGGTATAAAGCATCTATCTTAAAGTTGGATGCAAATAGGTTGTTCATCTAAAAAACAATTGTAACTAACAGTCCAAATGTTTTCTTAATATAACTATTATTTATAGTTTTCAATTAAATTTTTTTTTTTTTTTTCTTATTTGTGATCTCCATGGTAAAGATAGTATCTTCTCTAAAAATTATAATCAAATTATATTTTAAAAAATATTTATTGCCAAGCCTGTATTTCTATAACATGTGGGCTTGCTGCATAGAAACCGTGTCCATAATGTATGCCTAACACTATTTTATTTTTAATTTTTTTTATAAATCATTTTGACATGAAAATTAAGATGTGGCCACTCCTTATATAAGCGTACCTAATAAAATAAAAATATAGGTTAGATAAAACAAATAACCAAAATATCCTTGCAAGTTACATAGGTATTCAGTCATTTGGCAGAAATAAATTTTCCCATGTGAAAAAGAGCCCAACTCAAATTTCATGCTAAAATAATTTATAAAAATTTAATGTTCTTTGATTCTTTCTGTCAAGATCTGACATTTAGAGCCGAAATTGTTACATTAGGACTAAAGCTATCTCATAGTTTTATTTAGATCAGATGATTGATAACAACATTTTTTATATGTGCATGTTGTAATGGTCATAAGTTTTATATGTGGGTGGTGGGATGGAGCCATATAAAACAGTTATGCTTTTGTAAGTATGGGTGGGTTAACATCAAATGATAATATCAGTAGGATGAATTAGAAGTATTGTGTAGTTTAGAGGTCCTGTTTTGATTGCCCACAAAAAGAGAGTGTTTCTTCTCTCCAGAAACATAGATTTGCAGTGTAAGAATTCATTTGTTATTTTGGAGCTTACCAAGTGCTTGTGCCATGATCTTCCAAAGAGACCATCCGGGTCTGCGAAAGCTCGTTCTGCCATCATTAATCGATCGTTAAGATCCCGAACCAGCAATGCATTCTCTTTCCTGAATCTGGATGCCCATCCGTCTTCCTCTAGTGCCTAGATTCACCATTAGCACGATGCATCATCACTCACATACTCTCTTTCTCTCTCACTCACACATATAATAATTTTGTTTTGTTCATTACCCTCTCACACACATGTATGTGCATGCACATGCACGTGTGTCAGCACGAGTGAGATCCCTCTAACACAAACACCTCTTTCACACATCAGCACACACATACACCAGAGAGAGAGAGATCCTGGATTATTGATTGAGGTCAATAATGGTTGGTCTTGGATTTGGGTTGCTAGTGAACAAAAAAAGCACTTCTATGTATGCCCACAACTCCAAGGAAAACTACCATTTAAAGGGTGCAATTACATTAAGTATTAATAATTTTGGGAGGTATTGGCATAAACATGTGTTAATATAAGATCCCACCATACTACCAATTCTTTCAAAAATTGAAATTGGTTTTTTTTTCCAATAAAAACAGGGAAATCTATCAAAGTACACCTTAGCTTTAAACTATTTAACATTTTATACTTTTTCTACTATTTCAGGTCAAAATCATGTGTAATCTGATGGGCATTTTGCAATTAATTCAAAACATATAGTTAAAATGTTAAATAATTAATACGTTAGGTGTATTTTGACAAATTTCTCGGCCATTTTTGTCCATGGATGAAGCCTGAAAATGTTGTAGAAAAAGCTAAAATATACCTTTCTTTCCCTCATTATTTTGCCTGCGGCCTTCTCAAGCTCCTTGATGGAGTTATATAATGGAGAGAAGTTTAGGGATTTATCCAGTCCTTGTGTTTCTAGTGCCTTTGTACTTAACTGCAAAAAATTCCCTTTCAAATCACAACTTATTCAACAAAAGCACACTTACAAAAAAAAAAAAAAAAAGCATATAAATGTATTACTATCATAAATATCGTTATCATTGAGGCTTATCCTAACTATTTAGAAACCAAATGCATTAGCACCTATTGCATCGCTCCGAAATGAAGCCTTAAATTATTAATCATTTTTGGACACTTATATTCAATGTATTTATAAAGGGTGCAAGCAACTTGTCGTGAGGTCATAAAATATGTCGGTCTCCATATAACACTGAATCCCACAATATTTTAAAAGACAATTTATATGTAAAATTGACATAGGAAGTTACATATAACTATAATCTTAGACAAACCTAGAGTTTTTATTTTACAAAATTCTTAGTTTTTTCTATCCAATGAGAGAATATCACTTAACTTTGAATTTAATGCTTAAGCTTGGGCCTGTTCGGATGCAGGGAATAACTCATGGCACCAAATTGGGTTATGGGTTGTTGGCGATGGAGGCATGACATATTTCCGTAGTCATGCTTCCACCGATAAATGTTGCTGCAAATATCGGCCCCATACCGAGCATTGGATAGAATGGGGGTCTGCATAATGCTGCCTTATGGGATTTTATATACGATCCAATAGGAACTTAAATTGAAAGTATAGATGCCAGTGCTAAGTACTAAGCCAGGACAGAGATTTTGGGAAGGGAACGAATTAGATTACAATGTGGAAAAATTTTAGATAAATGAAGAGAGGAAATAGAAGAGATCCAAAAATGAGATATCAGATGTTCTTAAATCAGAAGTAAAAATTAATGAACTCAATGGTGCTACTTACTTATCAATTACTGAATGCGAGTGCATCACTTATCCATTTCAGATAATCATCGTAATGCATTAAATTTTTTTCTATGTCAATAGTTTCGCTAACATGACCCAGTCGATCAGATGAGAGAATGTATATTTAGGTGGGCTGGTCATATGAAGTGCAGATTCAATACAACACCCATTAAGAGATACGAATTAGTTCAAGTAGAATGCTAAAAAATGGGAAAGGATCGGTCCAAAAGGATGTGGTCGGAAGTAATCAAATAAGATATATGGATTTATGGCCTCACTGAAGATAGGCCCTTGATAGAACATAATGGCCGACCATGATTCGTGTACACTTATCCCAAATAATTAGAAAAAAGGTTCTAATGATGAAGAGTTTCCATATCTCCGAATTGCATCTTGAGATGAGGTACTTTGTATCCCGAGTATTGGTTTCATAATATACACATCATTTGTGTGGTACATGTTTTTGTGCAGATATGAATGTCTACAAGATTATAGGAATTGTGATCTATCAATCCCTTTTCATGAATTTCAATAAAGGTATAGAAAGTGCCACATTAGAGCACATGTAAATTCTTACGTGGTTATCACGAGGCAATGACATGTACTTAGATCCAATTCGAACTTCAATAAGTGTAACACTAGAAAGAAAACCTAGGACAATGCCATGTAGTTAGATCCAATTAGAACTTCAATAGGTGTAACACTAGAAAGAAAACCTTGCAGTATTTGGTTAACATTACATAAAAAAATGTTATTTATTGTATACAAAGTTTATTTCATATCTAATGACTAGAAATGCCTGGATGACCTTGTGGGCTATTAGAAAGTAATGACAAATGATCTCAGAACATGGAATTAAAAATTAGGTGACAACTTGTGGTCTCATTTCCTACTTATAAGGGAGTTAAGCTAAGGGTTATATTTCGATTAAATCTCATCTAGAAATTTCATTTACAAGTTCGGTGGCAACTTTCTTGTCTTATTTCCTACATACAGAGTTTTTTTCATTTTTCTAGACCTCCAATGATTTCTAGTACATATTTTATGTTCTTTCCTATTTTTAATTATTTTTTAAAAAATTATTTTAAATTTTTTTTTTTCCTTTTTCAATTTATTGTGCAAGACTCCTACCAATTCACTCGGTCCCTTGGCCAAGACAAGTTTTTGAACATTGGTGCATTTTTTTAGGGTGAGTAAAATTTATCTTAAAAAGGGTTAAGTCAGTGAGGATTTGGGCTTCTACCCTTTGATGAGAATGAAGTTAGAGACTTCAGACAGTACTATGGCCAAGGCCCCAGCCTATTCTTGATTGATGTATATATATTTAAGTGAACTTTTGAATTTATAAGGAATATGGTTGGGGCATCAGTGTTACGTGGGCCTATACCCAATATAACCATTCCCACCGTTAACAAGTCAAAAAAACAAAGAAAAAGAAGAAAAAGACAAACCTAATTATTGTGTACACATACATGTTAGTTTGAAAAGAAGTTAAAATGAAAATAATGGTATGTGATATTTACGTGGAGCTCAGAAGCATATGCTGAGTAATTAAATGGCAAGAACTCCTCATCCGCCAGCCTAAGTGCAACCAATCCCCATATGCTGCCCACTGTGACACAAATTTGATAAGGGTTAATCCAATTTTTGACAAATTTCTCGATCCAAATTCATTGGACATGAAATTTCTTGACGCAAATTCTCACAAACATAAACATCGTAAGTCAAACTTTTGTATTCTATCTATTTATAAGTACATCGAGTATTTGGATAAATATATTAGTACATCGAGTATTTGGATAAATTTCCTCTTTTAATAACCTCGAAGTTTCTTAATTGAAATTTCAATATCACATAAACAGTGTTTAGAAACTCCGTGGCGCCTTGGACTTGGTCCTGGCCCGAGCCGAGTTAATCGTGCGAGTGCAAGTGGACTCGCTCGTGAATATGGCAAAAAAAGCCCTAGCAAAACAGAAAATAACAGAACTTGCTAAAAAGTTAAACAAATATATTACAAATCAAATTAAACCAAAAACATTACAAATCAAATTAAACCAAAAACAACAGAAAACGTTTTCTGAAAAAATATATTAAACATAGATTTATAAAAAATAAATTATAAGCATTTTACAAAAACCCAGAAAAAGAGGAAAGAATAAACATAGGGCATAGGACAAGGAAAATCCAAATATATAAATATACATTAATTCACCCCTTAATATAATTTTTATGACTTCTTTTAGTTTTTTAACTCAACTCGAGTTGTTTTTGAGCACTTAGCTCAGCAAGAGGTTCTCTCCGAATCGAATCAGCGGAATTTGTAAACACTCCAACTAATTTCTTTTCTAATCCAAATTCCAACCAACATAGATATTTTAAATCCAAAATTTGAAAACCCAAAACTTAATTGTTGCAATCAATGAAATTATTGATATATTCACATGGGAAAGGGGCTGGGATTGTGGCTATATATATATATAAAAGAAAAAAGATGGCATAGGCCTACTAGCCTATAACGATAAATGAGCCCAACGGTCCAGATTAATATGGATCGATCCAATGATCATGATTGTATTTGGTATTTTAATTTTAATTTTTTTTTCTATAAATCTAAATAATTTGAAATTTTGAAAGTGTGTTCTCTACAAATAGGAGAATTTAGTAAATATCCAAATAATAATTTGCAAAAAATATATTGATCTAAATACCGTTGAAATTTTTAAGGGTATTTTGGTCAATTTATTTGAAAATTATTTTTTAAACACCTTTATTAGATACGCCTTATTGAAAATAATATATACCTAAAATTTCATGCGATTTGGGTTTGTAGAAACAAAATTAAAATTAAAACACGAAATGAGGTTATGACAATCAGATCAGCTCATATTCAATCTGGACCGTTGGGTTCATATGTAGCTGTAGGCTAATGGGCCTATGCCAG